ATGACATTGTTACTAGTTAAGACAGTAATATACAGTATCATGCAGTAGCATGACATTGTTATTAATTAAGACAATAGTATAGCAGTATCATGCAGTAGCATGACATTGTTACTAAGTTAAGGCAATAATATACAGTATCATGCAGTAGCATGACATTGTTATTAAATTAAGACAATATTATGCAGTATCATGTAGTAGCATGCTATTGTTACTAAGTTAAGACAATAATATACAGTATCATGCAGTAGCATGACATTGTTATTAAATTAAGACAGTAATATACAGTATCAGGCACTAGCATGCCATTGTTACTAAGTTAAGACAATAATATACAGTATCATGTAGTAGCATGACATTGTTATTAAATTAAGACAATATTATGCAGTATCATGCAGTAGCATGGCATTGTTACCAAGTTAAAACAATAATATAAAGTATCATGACATTGTTATTAAATTAAGACAATATTATGCAGTAGCATGACATTGTTATTAAATTAAGACAATATTATGCAGTAGCATGACATTGTTATTAAATTAAGACAATATTATGCAGTATCATGCAGTAGCATGGCATTGTTACCAAGTTAAAACAATAATATAAAGTATCATGACATTGTTATTAAATTAAGACAATATTATGCAGTATCATGCAGTAGCATGGCATTGTTACCAAGTTAAAACAATAATATAAAGTATCATGACATTGTTATTAAGTTAAGACAATATATATATATTGAAATGTGATGTTGTGTAAAATAAGAATTCAGTGATGACTCTTTCTACTTTATGTTTTAGCTCGATAGAAGGCATTGTTGTAGTATTTTTCATTATTTGATTAACAGTGTCAATACTTTTGTGGTATAGTAACATAAGTGTTATATTACTAATGGTAATACTGATTCTTAAAAAATGACAATAGTAATTCGAGATATAGTCTTGTTAAGTTTATAAGCACATGTATTAAGGTCATTCAGAGTCAATCAACTTTGTGGACACACTTCATAGTGAACCGTAAATATTTTATTACTGTTTTAGGTTCTAACATTTAATAAGTTTGAAAGTAATGTTGAAATAGTTATTAAAATGAGATTGTTTGTTTTGTGTAAACAAATTATATAGTCACGTCAGACTGGGCGTATTTTGAGATAAATAACCCGTTTTTGTTTTTTGTAAAAGTAGAACTTCAGCAATTTGTTCTGTTAAAAATAAGAACTAAAAACAAATATGACTTTAACAATATGTCATGTTCACCTTTCTCAAGAAGTCTGTCAGTTATCTGTCAATTTGAAGTCCTTTCGAAAGTCTGCTGGATAACGAAAGAACGTCTATCAATTTAACATGATAAAGGTAGATTGTTAAAGTTTGTGCTAGTAAAACTTTGCATCTCATCTCATAAGTATTTTTTTATTTAATACGTTACAAGTTTGGCAATCATTTAAAGTCACCCGTTAGGTGAAAAATCACAAGTTTTATTTAATTCAAATGATTAAATGAACAACCCAATTAAACCATTAAAAATAAACTCAAAATTAATATCAAATCAAGTAACAAATACTCCATTTTTACTTATATTTCCCAATGAGTCTTTACATTATAGATATTTCTAAAGCGTTTGTAACTATCCATGATTTTTTTATTGTAATTGATAACATCTTACTTATAATTTCCCATTTTTTTCATTGTTTAGAAATAAGTGAGCCAAATATTTAAACTGTTTTAGATAGAAAAACTCGTTACGCTATCAAAAACCAGCATATAAGCCTTATTTTACTTTAAAGTACCTCATCAAATAATGGACGTAAGAATCTCCAAAGTGTGAGCCTTAACAAAAATGGCTCAAATCTTTATTCCTAAACACCATTTAGATCGCCACATGGTTTTTCACTTAGATGAAAGAAACACATACATGGAAACCACCAATGCTGATGACAGTTATTGAAAGATGGAAGAGAAAATTGTAGAGAAATGAAAATCTACTTGTCATTCAAACAATATAAAGTCTTTTACCAGGTGTATCTAACTATTTGGCCATTTCATCTTTCAGGGCTTTCTGATATTTTATAATTTTTCAATTCAAATAAAACTGTTTCAATCTTGTCAAGAAATGGTAGTATTTTCAAGTGATAATTTTATGAATAAACATTTAGAAGCAACAGTTCAGAGAGTATTTCAAATGAAATATTATTACGTCGATTAGAAGCAACAGTACAGAGAGTATTTCAAATCAAATATTATTACGTCGAATACTTTTAATTGTCTGCGTTTATTTTCGAAAGTGGTTCTTAGAGTACTTATATTTGCCAGAACCTTTCCTTCAACTTTATACAACTGAATAACAGTTACATATAAATATAATGGTTTTTTTCTGGATATGAAATAATTCTATAAACTACAGAAAATGTTTGTATTAACAAAATCACGTTGCTGCTGTGTATGTTATGCAACAAGTGGCGTTTAAACTAATAATTCTTAGCTCTTACCCATGTTTAAGGAACTACTTTATAATTTTTAACTTGCTAGGAAACAGACTTGGAACGTAATATTATTACATTAATAGCTCAAAGCTACTGGTACTACTTCCGCTCGTTTTGTAAAAACCGGTTAAGAAGAGTCACAGTTGACTCAAAACAGAAGGATTCAAGGTTGAAGCGAAGCCTTTGTTTTCGGTTCTGTCAGGAATGGTAAAGCTAACGGTTTTCTGTGTGTCCAAAGACGAAATTAAACCGCGAGAAAACATTGTTCTGTTGTTATCCATAGAGGGCATTTGGGTTTCTTTTATGAGATGCTGTAGCTTACGCGCTAATGAACCAGAAATCAGAGCCGAAAATATGACCAGGAAAGCCAGAACTCCGGATAAAACTAGGAAGGATGTACAACTTGGAGGCTCTTGTGGTTGTCCAATATTTTTGTCAACTGAAAGATAAAACAAATGCGATATTTTTTATTTTTTTTTTGTAATTAAGATGAATTATTCACTTAAAGCTCTAGTAAATATCAGTCAAAAAAGTAGTCCCTAAAAATCCAGAGAAACTCATATCCTTACATACAAGTTTGATTAATCTTGGTGTTTGTTTTATTTATTGAATTTCAAGCAAACCTACTCGAGAGTTAGCCATCCCTAATTTAGAAGTTACAGACTAGAGGGAAGGCAGCTAGAGAACACCAATTACAGCCAACTCTTAAGCTATTTTAATCGAATAGTGGGATTGACTGTCATATTATAACGCCACTACAACTGTTTTATGACGTGATTTGAGCCGGTGACCTGCAGATTGCGAGTCAGCCTCCTAACCACCAGGCCATGATCTTAATGTATCATGTATGATAACAATAATGTATATATTTTATATCTTAAAGTTATTGGTGAGCTGTTACTTAACTTTTTAAACGCATCACGAGACCATAATAATTTAACTCAGAACTATCATACTTCTAAAACATATTAAATCAAATTACAGACACAATGTTTATTATTAGGATCTGGATTTGTTATTCTCCAGTTTCATAGAGCGCATAGTGAAGAACAAAATATTCCTTTTTGAATAAATAGAGTTGTTTAAACATTTGTTCCATACAGACACACGCCACAATGAAAGAACAGACCATTCCAAGCTTTTACTTGTTGTTAAACAAATGTTTAAACAACTCTATTTATTCAATTATGTACAAGCTGCCCAGTTTCGGCTAACAATATGAAGAATTAAATTGTGACGGAATGCTATAGAATGATAGGTTTCTTTTATGTGAGTTTAAAACACTTAAATACACCGATTCGAAAATATTACCTTACATATCATTAAATATCTCGTTATTTGTACAGATTGGAAATACATTTTGCGCTATAAGTATTTAACCTAAAATAAAACAAAAACATAAGCACTAATAATACTATCTATTTTTTTTGGTATTTTTTTCGTAAGTGAGGCCCGTAAAAATATAGGTTGTATCACCAATAATAATTAAAAAATACAGCATCAAACATTAAGTTATGTAGCTTTGATTATTCATGATGGAAAATTCAAAGACTTGGTACTGTTCTCACCTCCTGGCACGTAAACGGTTATGCCAATGTTTTCTCCTATTGACGTTGTTTTTAAATGTTGTTTTTCTTTTACTGTAGATACATTTGCTTTTCTACCAAGTGATAAATCATGGAAGTCTGAAAAATATCGAGTGAAGTTGGATCCAGCTCTCTTTTTACGGCCGTGACCATACGGTTGAAACAAGTCAAGGCAGAACTCCTGCAGAAAGGTTAGATAAACAGAAAATTAACGTAAATTAAATGTATTAATAATATATATATATAATATTCGTATTAGTACTTTACTTTTAATACAAAAATTGCCAATTTGCTCTAAACTAAAAGTAAAAACAAAAACGTCTATTAAAGTAGATTTCTAGAATTAGGTATTCCATACGGGCATAATCATTAAAATAATTACACTCTAAAATTAAGCTCCTTAATTTATTCAAAGGCGTTTTGGAATATTAACGTGCATCATCTTGCGTCACTTTATTTTGTTTTTGTACTCCAAACCACATTTTAACTTAAAACTAAAAACGAGGAAGAACATTATTTATTCATTGTTAAGCACAAAGAGATAACTGTGTTCTGCCCAACGCGTTATATGCCCACAGACTTACCGCTGAAGAACAGAGGGAGGTATGGAAGAAGCGTAGGCTTAATTAATACAGTAAAAGGGAAGCAATATCTTTACCATATCAATCAAGACCCAATATTTATTTTACATAGTTACAAGATAAAGATTACGAATAGTGCATTCTATTTACATTAAAGCTTTGTTTTGAAATAAACACATTTAAACGAGTTTTACCAAAACACAATCCGAAGCTTCAATGCAAGCTTCAATCTTAGTGTGAAGCCACAACTGATTTGACGACTCCATGTCTTCTAAAAGAAATGCCTGGAAATCTAAAGTCACCTCTCCAGGTTTTTCGTCCATTCTGATTGGTTGTTTTGGTACTATACTTTCATAATCCTTAACTCGACAGCTAGTAAAGACAAAATATTTATATTTTTAACAATAATTATAATATCTTTTTTTTTTTTTTGAAACTTTGTACCCTTGGTAAGTCATGTGGCGCCATCTCTTAGAGTTGTAAAAGGAATTATGTTTGCATATAAATTCCTGACCGAGGCAAGATGTAACGACAACTATTTTATTTAAACTTTGAATGGCATATGTTTAAAAATTCCAAGAATAAAAATATGAAAACAGAAACAATTCACTATATCACTACAATGTCACTACAAATATAGTGAACATAGATTTTAATTGTCATACATTTATCAAAAAATAACATACTTCACATTGTAACATTTTGATTCACTTGCTACAATCCAAAACGAGTTTTGTTTTTAACTTAACAGTTTCTAAAAAATAAATTGATGATGAAGAAGCTTGTAAGAACGAGTTAAATAAGCAGTTGGAAAACTTACCCGTTTTTCACTAAAACTATTTGACCTTTAACTTCAGGGTCATCTGGACTACTGGATACCACTACGTCCAGTAACTTGGCATGCTTCCATGCTGAAAGTTTTAATTAACACTCATTAATTATTTTGGTATATACATACCTAAACACACATATGTAAAAACTTTTATCATAAACTGTACTGTTTTGGCAAATAAGTATCACGAGTAAGGCAAAAACATATTCGAATGTTAATCTTAACGAAATCATTTATAGTAAATAGTTAACAATAACGTTAGAAGATCATTAAACAAGTTAGCATAAGCAAAGTAAGCAAACTTTGCATCTTAAAAAACCCATTTGTACTTCACTTGATTAATATAAAGGACAATGTAAGTAGGTCGTCGTCATAAGTCTATACACACATCCACACATGTATGCATATATATATATTGTTTCTCCTAAATTATAAAAAAAAGAAGTTTATTTTGTTTTGATAGAGTATATTTCTGATCCTAACAATATTTTTTAGCTTTCGTGACATCAATAAATCATAAATAATTATAATTTTATTGCTGTACAAAAACAAAAGCAGATGTTTTTTCTTGGTGTAAAATACGAAGAAGGCTACACATCTGATTACACATGAACACCAAAAACGCTTCGGTGCTGCACCTAAATGTTATTTATCTCCTAAAGAAAAAAACTTTCAACCGTCAGTTGCTCTGGGAAAGAGAGTTAGGTTTAACACGAGCATCACCTTAGTTAGTCCTTTTGCATCTTTGCTCAGTTAAAAGACCACAATGATCTGCAACCCATTATTTAACTTCAATCTACATATACAAATCGAATAAAACAAAGTAGAATAATAAATAAAAAAGTAGTTTCTGAGTTAAGTTTGAAGCATGGTGATGTATCAAGTTGTTTAGTATACGTATAATTTACCACAATCTTTCACAGCGAAGAATTTTAGACATTTTATTATATAAAAAATTATAGTCCAGTAACACTATATATACAATATTTAAAGCAGCATCTGTCTAGTAACTTTCAATTGTTCTTTGATTTCTGAACTCCTCGCTCCATTTTCAATAAAACGATTTCAAATTTTGCATGTAGGCTCTTGACACCTGCAGTATAAGCAGACAAATAAAAATGCTCCAAATAAATTTTCGGGACATATTGAGGGGACACTAAAATGGAGGGGATGCATTTGTTTTGGAGGGTCTCTGCACAAAGACATTATTATCTAAATACCAGGTCAAAACAATCACCTAAATTCAGACAGGAACTTTTCAGAATTTAACTTCTATATCGAGGGAGAGGGGATTTTAGGAGCTCTCAGGCCTGGATCCATGGATTTACATGAAAACTATGGGCTTTTGAGTCCGTTTTACTTCACCATATAGTAACATAAACTAATTTAAGTATGTGAATAATGTTATGACATTTCATATGATATGATCTAATAAATACAGAAATATATTTATTAATAAATTATAATTAAATAGTAGTTGATTATGAAAACAGAAAACCTGAGTTTGTATTAATGGCAGCTCGTAGTTGCAGTAAAGTACCAATCGGCACAGCGCCATCTACCGGGATTTCAAACATCCCACTTCTAGTAGTAGACTCCTGATAAAGTTCCATAACATACTCTAGCTTTCCTGGCTTTCCTTCCACAGCTCCAGATACCCGCCCAAGAGATGGTCTACAAACAGACGTTTAATTTCTTTATAAAACATACTCACTTTGAATAACATTGTATAATAAGCGGAAATTAATTCTATATTATAAATGTATTAGTTTTCCTGCAAAAGTAATGCATTAAAATACAATTGTTGTGATAAAAAAAAAAAGTTTTGTTTATTAATATGGCGTTTTCTGGCACTTAAAAGCAACATAGTAATCGATATTGTAATTTGTGTTTCATTTCCAGATTTAATTGATACCACAGGTTTAAGCCACGAAGCGAGAAAAAAAATTAGAGAGTAATATGAGATTCCTCTATTTAAAACTGATAATTCTATGTTTTTTCAACGGATTCTAGAAATCAAAATTATCGTAGCTACATAGAATATATATTTATATAAAAAGCTACCCAAGGGATATCTGCGCTAGCCGTCTCTAATTTAGTAGTAGGCAGCTAGTCAATAATACCCACCGCCAACTTTTGGGCTACTCTTTTACCAACGAATAGTGGCATTGACCGTAACATTATAATGCCCTTACGGCTGGAAGGTCGAGCATGACGGGGATTGGAACCCGTACTCCTAGATTGCCAGTCGAGCGCACTACTATTGGAAAGGATTTCATTGAACATTGAAAACTGTTTTGAAAACATCCAAAAACGAGATTATTCATTTTACACAGAAAACTAAATGGCAGGAAAAGAGATTGTTGGAAATTATTATTATGTTTTTTTTTGTTTTTAAATTTTGGAAAACGAAACTGTAATCTAACTATTCTTCAATAACTTTAGTTACCATACTCTGCACATTACTTCTGTAAGAACACAAATATTGAACTTGTGCAAACCATATTATTTTAAGTTAGTATGTTTTATATAAAATTTTATTGACAGTTTAATTTTGGTTTTATTTTGAATAATTTTTTGTCTGTGCTAATTGGTTCTAGTTAAGTGTGAAGCATACAGTGCACAAATAACTTTGCAAATACCGCAAAATAACGTATTTTGACTTTCATATATATATATATATATATGTTTTTATAAATAGTTGGAACAAAAACAAAATTTTGAATACGAAATATTATCACTGGAAACCCACTAGTAGCCATCTTACATGTTTCCTGCTCCCCCCCCTTCCCAGTGGCACAGCGGTATGTCTGCGGACTTACAACGCTAGAAACCGGGTTTCGATACCCGTGGTGGGCAGAGCACAGATAGCCCATTGTGTAGCTTTGTGTTTATTTCCAAACAAACAAACATGTTTCCTGAAAAGCTTGTGGTTTGTTTCTCTGTAATCACGTGCTCGGGAGGCTGACACATGATGGAAACATCCTGATCATTCATCAGCACAACTCCAGTAATTTGGGGAAACCACACTTGCACATTTAAGAATCCCTGTAATCAAGAGAAGAATAATTATACTTAATATAAGCTTTTACGCTTTAAATATAGGTTTTAATTGTTTTATTCATGTCTTCTTAGAACTGAAAATTTGTTGAACTCCATTCATCAAACTATAATATTTACTATTACTTGTAATCAGGCGAGGAACTAATTTATTCTGACTCTAGTATACTATTACTACTACTACTCGATTGCGGGCTAACAAACTTTGCGTGTTAATTACTTTAATCACAATTTGTAATCAGTTTTATAACCAATAACCCCTTTGAAATTAATTCACTCTTTCTGTGATACATATTCTCAGACGTGCTGATAACAATACTGGTTCTTTTTAAATTAAATTAAAATCAAATTAAAACATCGAAAAAAAAACGCCGTATTTGAAATTCGCTAACACATTTTGTTAATTAAACAGTTATAGTAAGTATATACACTCACCATTTATATATATACTTATATATATTTATTTATTGAAATAGACTTCACGCAATTTTATAGTTTCATAAATTGTAAAGATAAAGACGTTCTTGAATATTTATAAATTAAATATAGCTTTGTACTGATGAAATATCAAAACAGCCGAAGTCATTACTCTTTTCATATGAGGAAAAAACTTGTCATATACATTTCTAATTTGAAATTTAGAGATGTCGGTAAAAAACGCTTGTCACACATATACATTATACTTAGTTCACAACTTATTCACTAGATGGTATTAGTGAGTTATATAAAAGATAGCTTTATACGTTCTTTACTCAACTTCAAACAAAACATCATTAAATTAGGTTATGAGGTCAGTAAAATTTGAGCCTGAGATATTTTAGATATAGTTTTTCAATTGGGTCGGGGTTTCAATTAATTCTGACATCTCAAATTTTTGGGACCTTGTTCCTGACTTTAGCAGCTCAGTCGCCTTTTCCAGGAGATTTGGCTAAGCCTTTTTTTTTTTTTTGTAGACTTACGTCATACGAAACAATTTAAGCCTGAAATGAGAATGAATAAAACGCTACTTCTAGTCGTCAATTACATATATATTAAATAAGTTATTATAAGATTAGATGTTTATTGTTCTATTTTGCACACTTTTCTTTGTGATACTTAAAAGAATAATAACTATGAGAGATCTAAATTCACATAGTGTTTAATGTGTTTTGTTCTTATAGCAAAGCTACATCGGGCTACCTGCTGTGTCCACCGAGGGGAATCGAACCCCTGATTTTAGCGTTGTAAATCCAGAGACTTACCGCTGTCCCAGCGGGGGACAAATTCACATAGAGATCATGCATCATGTTGTTAGAGTTAAAATCTCAAGATAATTCTTGATACGAGTCTTATTATGGGCTAGTTATTTTTTATCAATTAATGAGTCCTGGCAGAAATCGACGCACCAAACTTGGTTTTTGTCTACCATAACTGGATAGCATCAATTTTTAAGCTACTTTTAATAATCAAAAAATAAATCTGTATGAGCTAATCAAACATATAAAATAAAAATCAATGATAAATTAAATAAAAAGATAATTATAGCAAAAAAACTAATGTGACTCATGCATCAGTAGAGTGTTTGAGACCCGTCAGGAGTAAAAACAACATAAAATCTAGAGGAATAAGAATAAAACATGGTCATAAAGTACATACGTTCTGCTTCTTCACTGGACATTCAATAAAGTCCATAATACGAAGAAAGTAGACTGAATTGGACGTGTCTTTTGGATCTGGTATAATTTGACATTTGTTGTGTTTCTGTGGTTGAATTCCTCTGTTGTTAGTAAACACTGGGTGACCCCTGAATCCGTCTGGCTTTCTAAGAGTAGCAGTAATAATGTCTTTTCCATCTGCATCTGTGCCTTCATGACACTTAATATCCGATACTGCATACCAAAGTGAACATTCAAAAAGATACATTAGGTTATATCAAAACGTGCTTTTTTAAAACTAATCTTAACAAGAAATTATGTATTTGCTAGTAAAGCTTTGGTCAAAAGCCAGAACTCGAAAAGCCTTGGCTCTGGCTTTGAAACCCTTGCTTAGAGCCTACTAGAAAGCAAAACGCTTTAGCTTCGAACCCTGAGTTACAATATGCCAAACATGTGAGTCCTTGCTTAATACTAGCATTTATGAAAACTTATCTTCAAAACTTGGCCTATGTGAATCCCGAAATTCGAAATTTTGTCTATATTTTTCCAGGATATATCGATGTTCCTAGAGTCTACTTAAAAAAATTAAACAGTTATTCTTTGATGTGATTCGTGTAATTTGAGATGATATTTATAGGTTTTAATAATATAAGTTCGTTAGAAATGATATGATTATATAATAAATAACATACATAATAAATAAGTAAATAAGTTTAACACTTTTGAATAATTAAATGGCCATCATCATTTGGATATTCAGATGTTTACAGATAATTATGTGGGGATATAAATACTTTAACTATGGGTTATTTAAAAGAAAAAAGAAACATCTGTTAGAGAAAACTTACACCACATAATCGTTTCATTAAAAAACCCTCACGCTTATAAATGGAAATATTTGGTTATGCAAAATAAAAGTAGTATGTGGTAGTTGCTTGAACTCTATAAATGCAGAAATGCAGTCATATCATAATTAGTTTGTAAAACAACGAGTAAGTAAGAGCAAGCATTTCTCCGACTTTCAAAAAAGCATGATAATCGATACCCGCCCAATAGGAGCTTTTTTTATCTTTCACCAGCTGTTCAGAGACATCTTTCACAGCTTAAAATAAAAAAAAAAAACTATACCTGTCGCCTGTACAAACTACAGCCCCTAACTGCTGGTGACAGAACGAGGGAAAAGACACCAGCCCGTGTCCCACTTGAATGATTCCTTCAACAAAGGTAGGATTCGACTATCTTCAGTAGTCGATATATGAAATCACAAAATCTGCTATAGTGCGTCAGGCAACCAGTATAAAAACTGCTTATCTTAAATATAATCTGTTCGGAGTTAAGTCGTATTTTATCCATTACTATACTAGAAACGGAGTAGTGATATAGACAAAACCAACATGAGGTCTTTGACCCTGATTGTTTTGTTACAAAGCTTCAATCTGCTATAGGTGGTGTAACAGTGCGGGGGAACATCATGATTATAAAAGATGAGCTCCTTTTCCCCTGAAAGAATGATGAATATCATTCAGAGAGTACCTAGCGTTTCTGCTGATCATTTCCATTCCACAATATTGCAACTTCTCTGTAACGTAGTATTTTGCATTTTTATACAAACTTTTAATTATTTATGATATATATAATGATAGTCTGACGTCGTACTTTACATTTTTGAAATGGCAGGAAAACATTGAAAACGTGATTATTATGAATAAGAGGTTAATATACGTTTATGAAAAATAGTTGTTATACCACATTAATAATAAGAATGTGATTTCAAGAAGTGCCTTACACGAAGAAAATGGCATTTTCTTTTCTGTATAACGTTCAGTCTAAAAAGAACTCAGCCTTTTGGCAGATAAATATACAAAAGCAAAATCGGTAATGTAGCCTTTATATCCATACGTCTTTATGTAGACAGTACACATTACATTACAAGTCTTTATTAATATTCTAGTCAAGTTCTTTCTGTTTCTATACGAAAGTTCAAGTGAATTATAATTGCAGTGAAATATAAGCATTGTGAAATAGAAAAAAATGCATTAGTTAAAAAGATGAGTAAAATTAGGAATACAACCCTTAACTTTCATAATTATAAAAAATTAAATGACATAACAGCTGTATAGGTTTGTTTGTTTTGAATTTCGCGCAAAGCTACACGAGGGCTATTTGCGCTAGCCGTCCCCTAATTTAGCAGTGTAAGACTAGAGGGAAGGCAGCTAGTGATCACCACCCACTGCTAACTCTTGGCTTACTCTTTTTACCAACGAATAGTGGGATTGACCGTCACTTATAACGCCCCACGGCGGAAAGGGCGAACATGTTTGGTGTGACGGATATTCGAACCGGCGACCCTCAGATTATGAATCGAGCGCCCTAACCACCTGGCCATGCCGGGCCAACTGTATAGGAAAAGGGACTAGTGAAATCAGAAATTTCTGGTATGTTTATTTTATTTTTGTTTTTACCAATTTTATAAAGATATTTTTGAGCAAAAATAAGGCAAGACATTTTATGTAAGTACACAATTAAACAATTCAGATCGTAACGGACGGCAAGGCGTAAGTTATTTGTATCTATTGTAACCGAGACATATTTAAAGTTTCCATAGAATTATCTCTAAGCCTCTGAAATAAAAGTTTTGAATATTGTAAAAGTGATACTACCTTACGTTTGTTTAAAGTAGAATACAAAAACAATGTTTTCAAATAGTTTTGAACAGAGAAGAATTGCAAAAGCGAAAAAGATTACCTTGAGTATGAGTTGAAGAATACAGAAGGTCGAGTATGTTATATTTAAACGAATTTGGAACCTAACCGCGTCGTTAAAGTCCATGTTGCCACATCCATCATATTTTATCTGACAATAGTCCTGCAGCATAGTTTCCATTGCCAAAAACTCGATAGTAAGGCTGTCATGTTTAAAACACACCACTCTTCCCATCAATGTCCGTTACAACAGTTCAATCACACAGAAATCCACACAACTACTTGGCCGGTATATCTATATATAGAATGGCATAAGTTCTCGTTTCATTCTCCAACTACTTGCGAGTTATGCGACGGTTGAAAAGACATGTCATAGACGCAACTTGTGTACACGTAGCTAGTGTCGTTTAACCAGATGGAAATCCTTCTTGATCACATTGTATACTGTTGCCTCGGGAATGTGGATGACTTTTGCCATTGACCTTCATGTTCTTTGATTCACATTTGTTACAAGGTATACTTACCATGGCTAGGGTACGACTTATTGCAGGTTTTTTTTCTTTTCTGAATAATTCTGGTACCCAAAGATGATCCTTTTTTTATTTTTTTGCTTTCCAAAGTCATTACTTACAAGGGATATATTCGATTTGTAAACTCAAACTACCTGATCTGAACACATTTTTATGATCTGAGTGTATGTATATCTTGCGTCGTAACAATCTAAAAAGCGATCAACTTTCGGTGGCATTATGCTACCTACGAAACGCCAAACGACGGCAAAATCTAATTCTAATACATGCTGTTCAAGCATGACTTTATATTGGTTGTGGGTGTCACGTGACTTACTGAACTGCATATTAAAAATTGTTTTAATATAAAGTACTCAACACTCTAAACAATAAGCAACCTTACGCCATGATTTGATTGAGGAGAGCTTGTAATTATTTGAAACACAGATACTGACATTGGAAATTCTTCAATTGAAGAAAATATGTTACTTTACAGAGAAACGAGTGTACTAGAAGGTGGCACACAAACTATTTTAATAAATATTTTAATATTGTAATTCTAAATTTTAAGTAAATAAACAATATTAAAATAACATTTAGTAAACGCAAGAGAATATTTTACACTGACCTTCATATTCTTCTGCTCCTGATGTTAATACCTAAAAGTAAAAAATAATTAGAAACATAGAAGATATTATACTAAAGAAGTAAATTTTGTTTGTTGTTAAGCGCAAAGCCACTCAATGTACTATCTATCTGCTTTTCTCGATTTTAGCGTTATAAGTTCTCAGCCATATCGTTCAGCGAACGGAGGGTAAGTATTAAATAAAAAAACACGATTGTTTTATATTTTTGTTTAATGACAGAGTCAAGAAAACTCCCGAAGTAAGTTTAAAGTTGTCCCCTAGTAGATCAAAGCTAAGTTTACGGACTTGAAATGCTAAAACACGGGGTTCGATCCCTCGTAGTAGACAGAATGCAGTTAGCCTAATGTGTTGCTTTGTGCCGAAAGAAAGAAATAAAACTTGTTTAGTTGCAATTTAATTAATTCATTAATTGTAAGCTTGTTCGTTTATTTTGGATTTCGTGCAAAGTTACTCGAGGGGTACCTGCGCTAGTCGTCCCCAATTCGGCAGTGATAGACTAGAGGGAAGACAGTCAGTCAACAACATCCACCGCAAACTCTTGGGCTAATCTTTTATCAGCGAATAGTGAGATTGACTGACACATTATAACACCCCACGGCTGAAAAGGCGAGCATATTCGATGAAGGGGATTCGAACTCACGACCCACAGATTGCGATTCGAGCGCTCTAATTACCAGGCCATGCCAGGCCCCTAATTGTAAGATAAACTTAAAAAAATATTTAATATACGTCAGAATACTTTTACTTATCGTAATGGGGTCGGACGAGGCCCCAAAAAAATTGCTCTCTGCATATTGTGGCAGCAAGTGGGTTATAAAGGTAACGGTCAAATCAAATCGTTTATCAGAATAGCTGAAATGTTGGCGATGGGTGCTATCGACTAGCTGCCTTCACTCTAGTCTCTCAGTTCTTAATTAGGGACAGCTAACTCAGACAGCCCTTGTATTAATATAAACAATACAAAAAAGAAACGGCTTGCCAACTTAATTGGCTAGAAAACCACTAGCAAATGCAGGTTTTTAACTATTTTAATATTTTTGGGGTATTACATATGCAAATCCTTAGATACGAATTTTCGTTCAAACGAATCCAGGATGATAAAGAAATAAACAAAGCTTTAATTAACAATTAAATAAAATTCCTAAGACTTAAAGCCTCACCAGATTTAAGGAAACGAGGAACGCACAAAAGATCATCTGGAATGTTGGTTGATTAAACTCTTCTGTTTAATCTTTAAAGGTGGTTCAGTGTTTCTATTGAACACAGGAGAAAAATATACGATATAAAATTTTATAATTTATTGAAATTATTTGTACTAATAAACTACAATGTAATGAATTACAAGTTAAACACCGGAACAAGTGAATATATGAAATACTAAAAACTTAAAAATTTACTGCTCAGAATATCTGGTATTGAGAAAAGATTTACTATTCATATACGCGTTACAAAGTTAAAATCTGGAACAAATATAGTGAACGCTTTCAACGTCTGGTTTTTTACAATTAAGCAATTAAGAATACGGATCCAGCATATTTGGAATAAATTCAACAATCGCTTATGCTATAAAACCATGGTTTAAGACAACATCTGGTTGTACGATCAAACTATTACAAAATACAAATTCAACCTAGGTATGTTATGAAATGAATAAAGTGGAAGAGATTCAACATCTGAAACTTTCTTGAATTTATGATTGCTGTGCTAGTAAAACATGGTCTATATATCTGGTTGTACAATCAAACTATTAAAAATACAAATTCAACCTAGCTGTGTAATGAAATCAATAAAATGGAAGAGAGTCAGTACCTGAAACCATTAGTTAGTGCATATTCAACACCTGGTTGTACAATCAAACCATTACGGAATATAAATATCAACCTGTGCATGTATGTGGTAAGAAACCAATGAATGAAACAGGTTCTATACCTGAAAAGGTTATGAAACCAGTAGTTGATATAGATTCAATATCTACGTGTGTTACCAAATCAGTATCTAAAATATATTCTGTTATGAAATTAGTATAAAAAAATCAACATTTAATTTTGCATCATTGATTATAAATTAAATTTGTACACGTACTATGAAACCTTTATTTGGAAAATATCAATCATTTTCACATTTAATAAAGTATTCCAAACGTCCTTAAATTATAATATCATTACTTGAAACAAAACAACCATATATATAATCCTTTTTGTTTTAATTTTTTAACATAACTGTTAACTACAGCATACATTTTTAGATCACGCTCTTTAAAAATAATTTGGTAAAACGAAGTTTTTATGAATACTTATATATTTTTAGGCATCATAATTAGAAGTCTACTCTGTTGCTAAAAGAAATATATATATATAAGTTCGAATATTTAATACTTGAAGATCAATCTTACACTTGAAATATTGTATCAATCATAGATAAACTTTAACAGTTAAGATATATAATTCTATTAAAGATAAATTTTGTCATTAAGTGCTATACTGCTTATTAAATTAAAATCTAACATTTTTGGGTATACTACCAATAACAGCTAGAGTATGAAAGACAAGGATATATTACCAATAACGTTTGAAGCGTGAATGAATATCCAATATATATATTTCCATTTAAATTTAATGTTTTGATATTCAAAGTATCAATCTAAGATGAAATTTCACATTCATGTATGTGTTATTAATTAAAGTTTGATACTTAGTGATGTATTTTAAATCAAAGGGTTGAATATTATATTCATAGATATATTTTGAATCAAATTAAAATGTGGCATTGGCGACCACATT